GTATGAATGTAGTTACTCTTCGCTATCTACACCTCAAACGTGCATTGGTGATACAAATAGGACAACTTGGAACTGAATTGAGGATTACATGGAAAGATCACAAAACTTTATACAACTTATATCGGATCAAATTGGAAAGGCCCTTAGTTCATCTAATGTTTTACCACTTCTATATGATGAGAATTTCATACAATAGTTATTTCGAGTATTACAGATGAGGATGTTGCGTCCATATCTAGTAGGAAGAAACGAGATTTATCATTTTTCTGGCACTCTTCTTGGCTGATAAAGCCAGTAACTTTTTGTAGTCTATGCTCTTTGTGGCATGCTTGAACCATCTTTTGATATGGATTTCAGAATATAGTTGAGTCGAGAATAAATATGTTATTCTTTATGGAAATTCTATTAAGATATGTCAAGAACGAAATGTTGTGTTTATTATTAGATAATACGACCTTATATATATAAGTTCTCTAAAGTAAGAAAAGAAATTGATAATTAATTACATGGAGTGTATATTGGAATATCCTTTTAACCTAATTCTCCTTTATTAATTACTAATAAAATACATTCTTCAACACTCCCCCTCAAGTTTAGGAATAAATATTATCTATTCTCAGGTTAACGATAATAGTCCAGAATGGTGGGTTATTCAAGCCTTTGGTCAATAATTTTGCAAGTTGTAAATTGGTAGGCATATACGGTGTATATATCAGATTATTGTCTAGTTTTTCTTAATGAGATGCCTATTCATCTCTATATGTTTTGTATTGTTGTGTTATAATGGGTTATGAGCAATGTCTATAGCCAATTTGTTGTTACCGTAGAGACACATGGAGCATTCTATTTGATTCTCAAATCTTTTATGATTCTCTTTAACCATGGTAGCTCAAATACCCCTTGTACCATTGCTCGAAATTCTGACTCTACTCTCGATTTCACAATTGCATTTTGCTTTTTGCTCCTCTAAATGAGTAACTTATTCCGAAGGAAAGTACAGTAACCTGTGATCGATTTTTGGTCCACCACGGATCTTGAATAGATTGTGTTAATATAGGTTTCAAGGAGTAACTTGTCATTTTTCTTGAATAGGATAACTTTTATCAGTAACCCATTTGAGTATATAATACTCTGTAAGCTGCTTGTAAGTGCAGTTATTGAAAGTCATGCATGAACTGACTTATCACACTTATTACATAGATAATGTTTGGTTTTGTATGTGACAAATATATCAATCTTCCTACTAGTATCTTATATATCTCTTTGTCTACTTCTGTATCCTCTTCTATTGGTTCTAATTTGTGGTTGGGATCAATAAGTATGCTAGCTGGTTTACACACTAGTTTATCGATATCTTTTAGCAGGTCATTGATATGTTTTGATGTGAAATGAAGATTCCTAATTTTCAGTGAGCAACTTCAGTTTCAATCAAGTACTTCAGCTTTCCTAATTTCTTGATCTCAAACTCATTGGCTAGGCATTGCTTGAGCATCCATTTTTTTTCGTTGTTCCATGTTACAATAATCATCAACACACACTGGGAGAGCTGTAACTCCCTCTAGATTTGAATGCTTGATAATAGGATATGGTCTTGCTGACTCTGTTTATATCCCAAACCTAACATTACCTTTGCAAATTTGCAAAGCATGCTTAGGGTGATTGTTTGAGCCCGTAAAGTGTCTTCTTCAATTTACATACTTTATTTGTTTCTACCTTTTTGGTAAATCCTAATGGTATCTTTATATAAATTTTTTCCCGTAGATCTTCATGTAGAAAGACATCATTTGCATCAAATTATTTCAATTTCGAATTAAAGTGAGCAGCTAGAGACAACAAAACTTGGACTGTGTTCATTTAAATAATTGGTGCTAATATCTCTTGATAATCTATTGTATAGGTTTGAGTATAACCTTTCACCGCCAACCTTAGTTTGTACCTGTCCGTTGTTCCATTAACCTTGTTTTTTATTGTAAACATCTGCTTACATTTCACATGTTTCTTTCTCTTCGGCAAGTCCACCATCTCTCATGTTTGGTTCTTTTTCAGATTTCAACATTCAAAATGTTTTTTTTTTTTTTTTTTCTCAGAGGATAATGCCTCAGTAAAGTGTTAGAGATAGACTCAACATTCAAACTTGTAATAAAATTTCTTATGGAAATGTGAACATTTATCAAAAGACACGAACTGTGAGATTAGGTAAAAAAGGGTGTTTAGTTATTTTCTAGTTCCTTTAGGAGTTGTAAAGGACATATCAATATCAGGTTGTATATGGTTTTGAGGACTCACCTCAGTTCTAGAACTTGTTTCTGATGCTTGAACTTGTTTAAGTTTTGCAACTGAATTCTTCCTTCTTGAGTACACCTGATTAAATCTTGGATCATGTAAGGTTTCTTTGGTAGTTTGATTTCCTAGTGGATTTTGAGAGATTTCCTGTAATGGCGTAGGTTGTGATTGGATAGGTGGTAATGGTTAGAAGTTAAGATCAACCAAAAAATCTATATTCTTATCTTCCAATATAGGCTTCCTTTGGACATAAGACTGGAAAAAATAAAAATCTGTTTCAACATATTTAACATCCACAGACACATAAAATATTTATATAGGCGACACTCACATGTCTTCTGAGAAGAGGAGTACCCTACAAACACGTACTTAAGGCTTTGGGATCAAGTTCCCTCTTTGATGGGAATCGATATGAGCAAAGGTGTCACATCTAAGTATTTGAAGGGCTAGATAGTTTATGACACTGATTGTTTTGTAAATTTTGAGGGTATTTCCAGAGGACTTTTAAATTCTAGGACACTTGAGGATAATTGGTTAACAATGTTAAAGATTCTTTATCTCCAGTATTGTTTTCGGAAGTTGTTTTTGAATAGGAAAGCTCGAGTTATAGTAAGAAGGCGACTATTCTCTTGTTCTGCCACTCCATCTTGTGGAATGTGGATACATTATGATTCTGGAATAATTTTTTCTTAGTAAAAAAGGATAAAAGTATGTAGTTGAAAAAATATTTTGCACTATTAGCCCAAAATCTTTTGAAGTGGGTTCTACACTGGGTTTTGATCATATTGCAAAATTGGGGTATTCTGTGACTCGCATCACATTTTGATTTAAGTAAGAAAAGCCATGTGACTTTTGCACAATCATCACTAAATAATAAAAACCATTGAGTCCTAAAAATATTAAGAATGTGAGATTTTTTTCAAATTTCAATAATGAAAATGGAAACAAACTTACCTTATTGTTATTAGAAAATACTACACACTTATGTTTAGCAAAGTCATATACATCACGATGTAAATTTTCATCAACAAAATCTTTAAATAAAAGGAGAAATATAACCTTCAAAATAAAAAAGATGAGTGCTCAAGTCATTTGTGGTAGAGCTAGAGCTTGTTGGTAGAGTCTATAGTGGTAGTGGAGGGAGATAATCTAGGTGCATAGAAGTAGTACAATCAGTTTCTAGTTTCAGTATGTCCAAGTCCTAAAAATCATAATGGAAAGGGAAAAAAAGTTGTTTTGCAATTCAAGTCATTAGATAATCTAATGACTGACATAATATTCGTATTGATTTCTGGGACATGTAACACATCTTCAAAAACGAGATGAGAACTAATCTTGATGTTATCCTTTTCTGCAATGATGTTTCAGGACCTATACGCAGTGATAATTTTTCTCCTACTTGGACATGCAACATATGTGTGGAAGTATTTTGATGATTTGGTTATATGGTCAGTGGTCCTTGAGTATAAAATCTGTGATTGTTCAAATGGTCTATCTGAGCCATTTAAACCATGTGAAAGGGGAAAGATACCTGACCAACACACTTGTACTTGTGGGTTTTTCCAAGTCCTCAAGCTTGCTTATTAAACATTCAATCTCAGCTTTGAATTCACTAAGATAAGTAGGTTTTCCCCCTCATGCTGGTTGATTACATGTGCTTGTCTATAGGTTTCTGTGAAGTATTTCTGTAACCCCATTACTGTTTGAGGTAGAGGACTTCCTATGAAGTTTTAACATTTCTCCTTGGTGTGCCAAGCCTTCTTGCAGAAAGTGCACCAAAGGTTATCTCTATCTCTCCTCCTGTTGCTGAGGAGTCAATCTGACCTTGTTCCTTTACCAGTTGGTGTGGTTCGGAACCCTTGGATGTCAGCAGAGCTATTATTGGAGCAAGGTTCCAATATAACTTATGCTTTCTTCTTCAACTATAATGGAAATAACCTCATTTAGTGAGAACATGTCTTCTTTTTCCAATATTGAATCCAACCTGGTCAAAATCTGCATTGAGGCCCGTCATAAAGTGATAGACTCTGTCTTTTTTCATAAATTGCATCCTTGTTGTAGTTCATAGGAAGGCAGCGATATTGGTTTAGTTCCTACTACTAATTCTTCAGTAAATTAGTATACTCTGTCACTGATCTGCTTCCTTGCTTGGCAGACCAAATTTGATTGTTAGATTGTAGATTTGGGCTGCATCTTTTACTCAGGACTAAGTCTTTCTAACAACTTTTCAAACTTCTTTAGTGGTGGGCAAGAATATGCAAGTGTCATTTGTCTCTAATAATATTGAATTTCAGAGCCAGGCCATGATTATTTAATTTTTCTCATCCCAAGCATCAAATTGTAGATCTCCCAGTTTAGGTCTGGTGAACTGAATCTGACTTATTTCCTTTTTCCCTTAAGGATAGTCCAAATTACATATGACCAATTCAAGTAATTTCCATTCAGACAATGGGCAACCTGAATTGATTGAAGTTCTCTGTTGTATTGTTTCGAGTTTCTTATGTTAGGATTTGTGCTAGTAAAGTGAGATGTAACCTTAGACATGATTTAAAAATCTTAGACAATTAAGGCATATGGAGGAAACTGCCAGTGGTGGTGGCTGGTGCATTACTGCTGTAGCAGAGCATGCCGCAGGTGCAGCTGGTGGCTACACGCAGCTGGTCTCGCAGTCTGGCTGGATGTGTGCACAATGGTGTGTGTTGGTGGAGGGCTAGTCGCATGGTTGGCAGCAGCTGATAGAGCGGGTGGCTGAGTGCTGGTCATGCGGCTGGCTGGGTGCTGCTAGTGCTGTGACAGCTGGCTGCTGGTTCACGCCAATGGGCCGTGCACCTGGCTGTTTTCTGGCTATGAAGGCCGGTGGTGGTTGTTTTGGTGGCCGGCTATGAAGGCTGGTACTTATAAGGTTATTCTTATTTCAGCAATGAAGACCGAATGAAGTTTATAAAAGAGTTAGGTTTTCTTTATATAGGGTTCTGATACTATATTAAGAATGATATGTTGTGTTTATGATTAAATAATATGATCTTAAAAGTAAGAATGATACCATGTCAATAATGATATATTGTGTTTATTATTAGATAATATGACCTTAAAAGTAAGAAAGCAAGCAGAATTTTAATCACATAGGATATATTTTATCATAATTGCTGTAATCTAATTCTCCTATACCTAATTACATGCAAAAATACATTCTTCAACAAGATATAATTGATTGACCAGTTTTTTGGGAAAGATAATGTGAAAGACCAAAAGAAAAGGAATATGTTAAAGGTTCAAGTGGCTTCTTACAAGATGATTATTTGTTTTGTTGTAGTTGGTAAACACTGGGAAGGAAAGGGCAAAAGTAAGCCTTCTTTTTACATGGGCGGTAAGCTTTCTCTTCCAGACATACTTGTTTTAGCATGTTCCAGGCAATGGAAAAATATTTTCAGTCATTTATCTTTGCTGTGTGCAGAATTCAATTGGAGGAGCTTCGCACTTATCGGGAGATCACGTGAATGAGCCATTCTTGTGAGTACATTGAACTGTTCTTTGCTTCTAGGTTAATAATCAGTTCATGCATAATTTAACTTTCTTCTTTTTTCTTGATAGAGGTGAAGGAGGAGTCTCTGGTGTCCTTCTACATCACAAGCAAGTCATCAAACCCTAATAGCTATACATGACGGTTGGTTTGCAGATTTCTCTTGATTTTTGAGTATTTAAGGGTGTTAATTGACCTTATCCTTCTATGCCTATGAGAATTCGCTGCCAGTTTCTAAACGCACTCACCAATCCTCTAAGAGCAGAAAAAGAAAAAGTTAGATGAATGGAGTGGTTCCAGTTGTTGATTCAAGTACAGTTTACCAATTCAGTACTGAGAAAAGGAAAGGGAACTCAGGTTCAGGACGGTTCTATAAATGGAAATAGTCCTCTAATTATGGGAAATTGGTTATTTCTGAAACTGCAAAATTTGTAATGTGAATTGTGAAGCTGATAAACTTGCAACTCTGAGCTTCCTTTGATATGAAAAGCTTTCCTCAGCTTTCCTTTTGTCCACCCTTCAGTAACAATTTATCATTTATATTGAAAATCCTTAAGGTCACAAACAAAGTGGTAAGTTTTGTGTGAAAAGAGTTTTAAGAACTTTTAGGACGACTTGGTAAAATGTATGTGCTTGGAGCAAGGAGCCAGCTTGAAGGGTTCTACGGCTGGTTATTGATGAGAAGTTCATCTGCAGAGGATGAAGAACTAATAGTAGAGTTTATACTTTGAGGAAACAATAAGGTGTATAATTTAGACTCCTGTCATTCGTCCTGGCACTGCCTTTGAGCATGAATCTGTACCTAAGTCCTAACCTATAACCCTACGTGAGATGTGGAGCCGACCAGAAGGGGTAATTCAACTTGAGTCTATAATTTGCTTGCAGAAGAATTCTAAATTGTAGCTCTTGGTGATTGGAACTTGTGTCTCCAGTACACTGTTTAAGGAAGAATTCGAAGTCAGTAGTTAAAAAACTTTATGTTTACCTAAAATTTCCATGTGGCAGATAGTTTCTTCAGTAAAATGGATTTTGTTTCTTATGCATAGCGCACTACTAAAGAAGGAAAGATCCCAAGTCATTGTAGATGTGAAAGAAGTCGATTCTTCCTTGGAAATACTATGAATTCCTCTCAAAAAGAAATTTGAACATCTGAGTTGACGTGCAAATACCAGATTGAATTTTTATTTTTATGCTGCCTGTTGTTATTTCATTTAGTTCCGCGGTACATATGAAACTTAACGCGCTTCTAGCTGTTAACTTTTTGAGGAAAAATTGGCCATTGGTTATTTTTGTTTTCCTAATGTGATTGTGAGTATACTTCTAAATATTCTTAGGGATTGTGGAAATGTTGCAAGGACTGCAAAGGGAAACCCTCCAGTTACTTTTGCAATAGCTGCATGTGAGACCCAGAATGTAAATGTGACTGTTATGCCATGTTTCGGTCTGTCTGAAGAAAGTTGCATTACAGCAAAGGATATGTGGGGTAAAATGATGCAGTGAC